GCTGCCACAGAAATTGTAGATTGGCTCCCGGCTGACCTGTTTGAATTCGTCTCCTCCCTCCCTCCCTTTTCCCTTTGGTGCAGCTCCAGCTGACTCATCTTCACAAGACTGCGTTTTTTTTCTCTCCCTCTCTCGCCCAAACTGCCTCCTTTTATATCACTTCCTGTCTCCGCCCCCTCCTCCTTTCTCTTCCGGGTGAGCCAGAAGTGCTGATCCTGGGGCCTTTGTCTCTCCCCAGCTGCCCTGCAGCTCCTGAGGACTCTCACAGCAAGTCCTGCACGGTGCCACTTTGGTTCTTTCCCTCCCCCGCTAGGCTGGGCAGAGCCGCGTACCACATGCCAGGTGCCAGTGTACCACCAGTTGAAAAGCCTTGGCCTAGATCACGGGGGTCAAACTCGCTGTCGTGATATATTGCGACTTTTTGCATTGCTAGAGCTGGGGTGGGCGCAGCCTCTGTATGATACAACCGGCCCACGGGCCAGCAGTTTGACACCCCTGGCCTAGACATTGATATAGGAACATAGATCTTTTTAAATTTATATTTTATTGTGTTTTACTAATCTAGATGAAATGTTAAATTTATATTGCTAGCAAGTATGATATGCTGCAAGGAGACTAATAAGCAAGGGTTTTTCTCTTTTTTTTCCTCATCGGTAATTTATTGTATATTATCTCAGGCTATTGATCATATAAACTCATTGTCCGCATAATTGAGAGAGAATTAAAATAGTTTCTTTTCAAGGAAGTACAGCTTTTTATGGAAATCTGTCATAACAACATCACAAAAAGGGTTGGGAGGTTTGTATTTTCCTACTCCTTTGTCTTAGGAGAGAGTGACTTCCTACCAAAAAAGGAAGCCTGTGATTTATAACCAAAATATGAGTGTCTTATTGTAGTAATGCATCATGTCACCCGGTTCCTTTAGAGAAATCAATCACATTTAAAAACATTGACCTCCTTCACTTTTCTTTTTCCAGTATTTGACATATAGAATCTAATTTGTGGACTTCTGGCTATAGGAAACATACATCATTCAGTGAAATTTTTGCAAATTTGTATAAATCATTCTAAATTATGTCCCTAAAATGGAGCATTTTTGACAACAAGAACCTTGTTGGTAGAAAAAAATACTAGCAAGCTGAAATTGCCCATCTCCTGAAGCATATTTAATCAAATTGGACCCTGTTTCCTGGAAGAAAAAGAAATTGGAGTTTGATAAAAGAGTACCTAGCTAAGTGACAATACAGCAGTAGCTAATTTTCACTTTCTTCCTCTGGTGACTTACTGTACCTGTGTACTTCAGAGGCCAAAAAGCTTTAAGTGTCCACATGTCAGCCCTTGATTACAAAATCATTTTCCATTCTCCTGTATAATTTCATACAATTTTCCTCTAGGATGCAGTAGAAAAGTGCAACCAGGAAGCTTTGCTACACTACCATTACGCAAATGAAATTCACCGAGAGCATATTTCAAGAGTTTAATCTTGAAATGGAAAAAAAAAAAAATACTAGCATTAGTTTCCTAAATAAAATTGCACACAAAATTTACTAAAGAGCTCCAAATTTAGGATTTAGAGGGGATGAAAATTATCATAAACAGCCCCGCAATGTCATAAATCACACAGTGGAAATGTTATGATATATATTATATATATATATTAAGTTTAAAGAATACATTTTTAACGATTTTGAGATGGCTTATTGCACCCATGTTAAAAACAAGTAAAAATAGTATATTACTCTCAATTATTCAATCAATTGTTTCCTGAGTTCTTCCAGAAGACATTGAAACAAATAAGTAGACTCAGGTTTGAGTCTGAATGTCTCTGGAATTCAATGTTTGCTAGACTGATAGCACATTTCACATATCAATATATGTCATTGTTGTATTATAAAGCCCTCATACTTTACTCTTTTGGGTAAACTGAAGATATTAATGAAAAGGCAAAGCAAACAGCTAAAACTGACCAACCACATTTATATTAGCTCTCAGGGTCTTTCGATTATAATGGTGATCCCATTGCTATAAAATATCTATGAATCACCTGAAAACAAATATAGTATTTCCAACTGGTTTCCCCTCTATCAACAAACTAAAAAACTTCGATCCCTCTGATCCAATAGATAATTCCATTGGAAAAAAAAATACTGCATCTCTTTTGCATCCTTTCTGAAACTCCCTGTATTTTACGTTGTTCATCCAGATTTAAGAATAACTTTCAGAAGTGCTAAAATGGGGGGGGGGGCTTTTTTCTTTTCACAAGCTGAGGCCAGGTTTTCTTCTTAGTGCGGCCATCAATATAGAACTTCCCAGTGAAGTGTTAGAACTGCCTTTTACCTAGGCTGTTACTCCAGCTTTAAAAAACATCTTTTTAGTTGCCCTTTAATAATATCTAATTGTGCAGTATCAATTTCAATTCACCTTTTTAAAAACTTAAATAGCTTTTTAATTAATTTTACTTGGACAGCCTTTATTTTAATTTGCTTGACTTCTAGCATTCAAGACCCAGAGATTTTGCTCTAAATGTCTAATAACTTAATATTCCTCTACTAGTGATTGTGTAACAAAAATATATATAATGCTGTGCAGAGGCAATATTATCCTTTAATGAATTACCATTGCACTTTAAACTGAATTATTTTATTGTGCTGCTTTGAAACCTGGCTTGGCTGGGCCCATAGAGATTATAGCCCAGCATTTGTTGATGGTTCTTTACAATGCCAGGCAAAGCAGTTAAAACAATGGCAAGGATCTACTGTATCAAGGCCTTCTAAGAAATTACTCTTAGAATATCTGGCAAATCTGTTCTTCCAGCAGCTGCATCTACATGTGGTTATGATGGTAAATTGTAAAAAGTTTCAAAAGTCTTTGTATAAGACTCTCCATAATTGAAGGAACACTCAAGGCTGAAGAGAAGTTACCATCAGTCTGGAGTTGGCGGTAAACTTGTGTCTATGATATTAGAAAAACAAATGCTGGAGCCTTGATATAGGCAAAGTTTCTGGGGCTTCATTTGCATTGTCTCAGTACTGCTCAGCCCCATGATAAATTGTATGTTGTGGATACAAACAGTTTCTTGCATCTTCCAATGAATTTGTAAGGAAGAGTAGCAGGACATTGCAAAAAGAAATCGAAATCAAATTACTGTGATGTGAAGATACCAAGTTGATCATTGAAAGTAGGAAGGGGGAAACAGAATTCCTCTTTTATAAGAAGGAATGTAGGGAAGAATGTCGATGTTATTTCTATGGTTTGATGGGCTTGGAGCAGATTTTTCCCTGCTGATCAGATCCAGCTCTGCAGTCTCAGAAAATAGTTTCTGCTAATGGACACAAGATGGCAGCATTGAAGTATGACACACTGTCCTCATTATTTGCCCTGATTTTTTCCCCCTTTTTTAATATGGAGAATAGATAAATTAATGACAGAGTTAATCTTGGCCATTCTAGTAGAATGCAGAACTTGTAATTACTCTCTCAAGGACTGGGCTGAGAGACTGAAGTTTGTAACCTGAATTGCTATATTATTTCTCTTTTCCAATGTAGGATGTATCCTTTTACACCTAAGTGTGAATAGGTGACCCAAAGTTAAAACTGCCTAAATACAATATGGCAACTAATCACAAAATTGTATTTACTTTTTGGCATTTTGCAGTGAATGGTATTTGAGAAAAAATTGTGAATGTCTTGAGTTTTTCAGAATTGCTGAAAATTTGAAATGACAATTACACATTTCTTCCTCTTCGAAGTACAGCTTTTTGCCAGTTAAAATTAATTAAAATTTTCAACACTGTTTTATTTTTTAATTTATTATTCAGAATTTTATTCAGAGATTCTTGGTTGCTCAAAAATAGGAAAACTAAGGTAATCATAAATAATTAAAAAATACAACACAAAACATTACCTGAAACACGGTACCTGGATTCAGCTTTGAAATGCATTCCAGAAAAGTTGTTTTTAACTAATTCTGGAGGGCAAATAACATTGGAACCAGTCAACAGGAAGCTATTCCAGGGAACTGGCACCATGACAGAAAAGCTCCTATATCTGGGCTCTGGTGTCTCAGAAGTGAAACTAGCTGCTTCTCCTGGTAAAATCAAAGTGGTCATGCCAACTCAAAGGAAAAGATTCAATACAGCAGGTAATCTGGTGCCAAGCTATAAATTGCTTTATAGATTAGAAACAAGACCAAGTTTAGTGTGATTAAGAAACCATGCTAGAAATTGGGAGACCGTGAGTTCTAGTCCTACTTTAGGCATTAAGGTACTTGGGTGACCTTGGGCTTTATCACTTTATCTCAGCCCTAGGAATGTGGCAGTGGCAAACCACTTCTGAAAAACATTGCTAAGAAAACTTCAGGGACTTGTTCAGGCAGTTTGAGAATTAGATACAATTAAGTAGAAGAAGAAAAAAGTAAAGACTGCACTTTCAATGGTATCAGAAATTAATAGGAAATTAATTGCAGAGTTATAAACAGATGCCCACCTGGTAGTAACTGAGCATTCAGTCCATCAAGTTTTGCACCTAATTAAACTTTAGGGCAGTCTTTAAATGCAGCCTGATGTACAATGCATTGCAGTAATCTCTATAAAAGGTGATGTGGGCATGAGCCACCATAATTAGGGTCTCTGCCTCAAGTCTCAGTTGGCATCCAGGTGAAGCTTGGTGAAGGCTCTCGTCGTCATGGCCTCTGCTTGCTAATTCAGCAAAAATTGCAAGTCCAGGAAGTCCTCTAAGGAACAGGCCTGCTCCTGCAGAGAGGTGGGGTTGCAACTCCAAAGATAACAATTGGCACAGAGGAAACAATATATACAAATAGTTGTATCTTAGTACATTTATTTTGCGTCTGCTCTCCCATTTATTTTGAACCTCCTCATACTGTCCTTTAGAATAATCCAGATGAGAAAGCAGTTCCATGAATATTAACACTGCTTTTATTGTAAGGTTAAAGTCCTTGCAAGTCTGAAAATACATCTATCTCCCCTTGTCTTTACTTTCCAGAGAACGAAGAAGGGTCCCTTCTGATACAATTTCCAAACCTCTGTTTCTTCAGTGAGTTGAAATGTCTCTTATCTGACCATTGCCCTGGCTGTGACTCTTCCTCTTCCTGTCTTTCAAGGATATTCCTACAGACCATTAAAAGTCTTCAAGCACCAGGATGAGACTTTGATAGCATCTCCAGTGTGACCTAGGGTTGCAATATATTACCAATTATCATTCAGCCCACTGAATAATCTGTCCCCCTCCAAACTCATACACACATGAGGAAAAAAACTAAATCTTGGTATCTCTGTCCTGTTTCCTGACTTGAAACAGATATCTAGATATCTACTCCATCCAAGGCACTCTAGTTGATTCCAATCTATTGTTTCAACAAGGGGAAAGTATGGAAATTGTTCAATACCTCTGACTCCAAACCGGGCATCTTCAAAAGGATATGGAACTGCCTTATTTTAACAGTGGTCCCTCCCATAACAGGGTATACTTTTCTGCACCCAGGGAACAATCCCCCTTCTCCTGCCCCTTTCCAGAGAAGGAAAGAGCCAACCATGCAGCTTGTGGGTAATCAACATCTTAGAGAACTCATTATCCCCTTACTCAGAAGTAACCCAAAAGGAAATACGGCGAGGTGGTACTTCAGTCACTTCATAAGACTGCCATGTATCTTGATAACTGCTCTGAAATAAATGTTCAGTTGATTTCTGTAGTTTAAATCCTGTATTCTTAAATTTCCATTACTTACAGGTGGACCTCATATTGTACATTCAATTTTGGGTTAGTGTGGTGCGAGGCTCAGGTAATTTTTTTTTATAAACCAGGATTAATAGAATAGCCAGTTCCTTATAGCTAGTTCAGTAAACCATGAACAAAACAATAATTTATACTGATGCATTTTCTCCCTTCTTATCTCTTATTCTTTTCTCCAAAAATTTATTGTCAGGTTAACATTTGGTCAAAGTTTGAAAAACAGTGAGATAGTTATCTCCTATGGGCAAAAAGTAATATATCCTTCCAACATTTTAGTAATGGATTCAATTGTATGTATTGACTGAGCAATAATAATCACATGTCATTACTGAAATGTTAAGCTTAATGCACATAACCATGCACATTTTCTGGCAGGTAAAGATTCCAAGTGTAAATACATATGCTGATGAATCCAATTTAATAGAATATTTACTCTTTTTGTTTTGTTTTGCTTTTATTATTTAACAGATCTGCAATTAAAGCTTTGCGTCCTGGAGGATATCTGGTTTATTCCACATGTACTCTTTCTAAGGCAGAGAATCATGATGTCATAAGTCACATCCTTGATTCCTGCAGCAATGTTTTGCCAGTGGATTTGCACACCCTAGTCACTTCGGTATCGGAGGAATTCAGATTTGCTGCCAATGTCCAACAGCATGAACTTTTAGTACTTCCAGAAAAAGGGAAGGCATGGGGACCAATGTATATATCTAAATTAAAGAAAGTATGATTCATGAAATGTTTGTGTAGTTCTTGTGAATCAAAATGAAAGGGTTTTGCATGGCCACGTCTTTACAAGAGTAATGAGCTGACAACATCAATTTTAATAAATCTTTGTACTTTCTTTTTGAACTATTTAAAATATTTGAAAAAATGAATGATTCATGTAGAGATTTCTGTTAAATCCTATAGCCATATTGCAGCAATAACTAGGGATACAAACTATTCTGAAGTTAATTTCAGTTCCAGCTATTGGAAGTAACTTACATTTTCTCCTGTTTTTGTTCCCAATTGTTAGATGGAATATTCAGAGAAAAGTTCTAAATGATAACCTGTTTTGAATGTATAATGGATTATGCTGAAAAACACTGATTTCAAATTAAAGCATATTCAGTGTTTGGTATGTAAATTCTTCCTGGTTGCCAGATAGAAAGCAGACAGTACTTCTCTTTAAACCAGATCTGGAAACCAACTTAATCACAATTATTTATAAAGTTAATAAATTAAAGTGTAACCACTTGACATAATCAGATACTTTTATATATGAGAAGCACGTGCCAACTTTTCTAGTTTCCCAGATTGCATGTCACTAAGTTTCTCTAACTAAATAATAATATATGGCAATTCAGCGTTCCTGGATATAGTGTAAAATAGTTTTTAAAAAAATCAGGAAAAACAGTTAATATGTAAATGCATAAATAAATGGCCCTTTTATAATGAAACTTCTAGCTTCAAGCAAAATCAGTCTGAATCAGCAGGTTCTTGTTTTTGCCACTGGAAAACACATATTGAAATAATCTTAATTGATACTACTGCTACTACTGCTAGAATGTACAATATGGGAGCTCTATTGAAAGTATCTTTCAAGAACTGATTGCCAGCAAATGTGGTGCTTTGATGTGCATCTTTGGAGATAAATGTAGTTTATCTAGCAGTGATAAAGCGATTCAAATCTAGGATGGGGAATAGCTATATTCAACACAGTATTGCAAGGGCATTTCCATATAATTACCACTGTAATTACTGAAGTCAGCAAACTGAACAAAGAATTGATTCAAAATGATATTAGGTCTTTTTTGAATAACTGCTCTACAGCAGACTTCTTGAAAAAATGGACTGTTGGGTGAGAACTGTATATCCAGTTTCTACACAAGACTATATTTTCCTCTAGTCTCTGTTACCTAGTGTATATCATGATACATTTTTTTGGAACTCTTAATTCTTAAAATGTATTCCCTCTCAAGTAGAGATCTGTTTGGATATGTAAAAGTACGGTAACTAAGTCATTCATGAACTTGCATATCCTCTTGATGAGTTCTAAGAAAGTTGCAGAAATAGTAGCTATAGAATTTGTTCTTTTGAAAACAATAGGGTAGCCTTTGTACACCTACACTAACTGTTTATTCATTTGTTTTGTTTCCATTCTGCTGAAATAACACAAAAATGTCCATAATCAAAGTGTTCATGGTAAAGCAGCCAACATGTAATGAAATAAAATTCGAAACTTATATTAACAGCAATAAGACATAATATCATAATAAAGCCAAGTAAAATTGAATCAGTTTACATAATTCAAAGGACAACAAATCGAAATGGCGATAACAGACTTTGAATAAACTCTCTCAAGATCCAGCATCTTCAGTAGCTTTCAGAACGTTAGAAGGAATGCATCAAACCTTAATTCTAAGAGAAAAGTATTCCAAAATATTCCAAAGTTGGAATAGAGAAGCAGCACCTCCTGGCCATCATTCTTTTTATAAAAATGACATAGAACCAAAAACACCCGAAGAAAATGTACTGAATAGGCTGATTCAGTAGAAAATTGTCTTGTAGGTAACTAGGCATAAAGAATTTTATAGGTCAACACCAACCCTTGTTTATGTATTGAGCACAAAGGAACAGCTTCAGTAATATTTTTATCCAAGCAATATATATTCTATCAATGCAAGCAAAGTAATGTTTGTGTACTTGAATTCTTTCCAGCATATAACCTAAAATATTGATAGTGTATGGAAGCATAATTTTTATGTAGAATTATTTTGCTTCAAATCAATATCATGTCTTCCTTTAAAACGAAGGCAAGTATCTTTTCTTTCTTTAACCTACTCTAACATTTTAATGTCCTGTTCTGAATCCAATGCCAGGCTCCAAAATGTGGTATCTCCAACTGGGTAAAAAATGTAATGGAACATGTATGTATGTATGTATGTATATGTGTGTGTGTATATGTATGTGTATGTATATGTGTGTATATATGTATATGTATGTATATGTATATGTGTGTGTATACATATGTATGTATGTATGTATGTATGTATGTATGTATGTATGTATGTATGTATATATTTGTGTAAGCCAAGAGGGATCATTGATTCTTTGTTATAATGTACTGTCTTTACTTGGACTTCAGTAAGGCATTTGATAAAGTAGATCACAACCTACTACTTGACAAGATAGAAAAATGTGGGGTAGACAGAACCACCACCAGATGGATCCGTAGCTGGCTGACCGGCCGTACTCAGCGAGTGGTCCTCAATGGAACTGCATCTATATGGAGGGAAGTGTGTAGTGGGGTGCCCCAGGGCTCTGTTCTGGGCCCAGTACTCTTCAACATCTTCATCAACGATTTGGATGAAGGGATAGATGGGGAACTCATCAAATTTGCAGACGACACCAAGCTGGCAGGAATAGCCAACACTCCAGAAGACAGGCTTAAGATACAGAAGGATCTGGACAGACTTGAACACTGGGCACTAACTAACAAAATGAAATTCAATGGTGAAAAAAGCAAGGTTCTACATTTAGGCAAGAAAAACCAAATGCACAAGTACAGCATAGGTGGCACCATGCTCAATAGTAGTAACTGTGAGAGGGACCTCGGAGTCCTAGTAGACAATCACTTAAATATGAGCCAGCAGTGTGCTGCAGCTGCCAAAAAGGCCAACACAGTGCTAGGCTGCATTAACAGAGGGATAGAATCAAGATCACGTGAAGTATTAATACCACTCTTCAATGCCTTGGTAAGGCCACACTTGGAATACTGCATCCAGTTTTGGTCACCACGATGTAAAAAAGATGTTGAGACTCTAGAAAGAGTACAGAGAAGAGCAACAAAGATGATTAGGGGACTGGAGGCTAAAACATATAAGGAACGGTTGCTAGAATTGGGTATGTCTAGTTTAACGAAGAGAAGGACAAGGGGGGACATGATAGCAGTATTCCAATACCTCAGGGGCTGCCATAAAGAAGAGGGAATTAAGCTATTTTCCAAAGCACCTGAAGGCAGGACAAGAAGCAACGGGTGGAAACTAATCAAGGAGAGAAGCAACCTAGAACTAAGGAGAAACTTCCTGACAGTGAGAACAATTAATCAGTGGAACAGCTTGCCTCCAGAAGCAGTAAATGCTCCAACACTGGAAGTTTTTAAGAAGAGACTGGACAGCCATTTGTCCGAAATGGTGTAGGGTTTCCTGCCCGAGCAGGGGGTTGGACTAGATGACCTCCAAGGTCCCTTCCAACTTTACTACTATTACTATTACTATTACTAATCTGGAGTTGACAAAATTTTTACAGAATTCTACCTTCAATTTTATCTCTCTCAGTCCTTATCGGGGAAAAAATATATATAATTTACTTTTATGCTAATTTACATAATAAATGACTATGAAATACCCGTTGACTCATATTGCACCAAACAGGTACTGCATGCTTATGTCATAATAGAATAGAGGGGTGCAATTTAAAATCCAGCTCTTTCAAATCTTTGGTGCTGACCCTAAACCCATTAAAGTTAGAGGATTTTAATTTTCAATCTGTTTTATTTTGTACATCAGAACAATGATCACCGATTTTCAACAATAGGTGTCAAGATGAGGACCATAAAAAAAGTTGTGGGGTTGAATGTAGTTTCTGGGATGCAAATTGCCCATCTGTAATGCAAAAGAGTGTGTTTCCAACTGAGAACTGGAACATTTTAATAATTCCCTCAGCCTTTGAAATACTGAAAATTATCAGCAAGTATCTCTGCCTTCCTGCCTTTCTGCCTGTCTGTCTGTCTGTCTATCTATCTTATCTCTCTATCTAATCTTACTGTATGTATCTTCTATAATATAAATAAACAAAAACAAGGTACAAACCTTTTACAACTTCTGAGGCATTCAAAAGACATATTTCCCCAACCTTGATTAGCTTGCAGAATACATTGAAGATGCAATATAGTCTTAGGTGCCAATAGATTTTTAATAATGGGACAAATGATGCGGTTCATATGGTTTAATTGATAGGAACTAGCTTTTTTCCAAAGAAATATGGCTAAAATTGCAGGATTAATTCAGTAATAAAACTTTTATTAAAAATTAGATTGTATTACTTCAAGTTATTTTCAGCTACCAATGTTTGATGTCTTGGAATTACATATATTCCTGATTGTTTGATACACTTTCAGGTAGTAAATACTGATGGAACATTTTTCTGCAATGTTGCCCAACTGAATTTTTAACTTGAGGTAATTCCAAGTACTGTATTACATGCAGTATTGAGAGGATTATCTGTTTTCAGATTGTCATCTGAATGTATTAATAAGCATCTTCCTTTAATATGATTTTTCTTCAGGTTTCAAGGACAGTTTTCTAAATTTTATCACTCAGAGGATCAATTTAAGCACATAGGAAAGCTGCCTTCTGCTATGTTGGGCTGACTGGCAACAGCTCTCTGGGACATCTTACCCAGAACTAAAGCTGACAAAAATTGAAGCTGAGATCTTTTGATGCAAAGTGTGCTTTCTATAACTGAGCTATAGTCATTTTCCCTAAAGTAAGTATAAAAGAAAGCTGTCGGATGGTTTTTATATTGTTTAAGAAATGACAATGTGCCAGCCAAACTGGGCGCATTTG